TATATATATATATATATATATATATATATATAATTTATTTATTTATTGTGTGTGTGTGTTTGTTTGTTTTGTGTGTGCTTATATTTTTCACCTGAGGATGTCACCATTATTTTACCGATTCAATGCATTCAAGGGCAATGACAAACAACGGTTGTAGTGGAGACTAAAACACAAGTAGTCAAGACATCAAAGTTCATGCTCAGTAATCCAGGCATAAAATCCAACAATGTTAAGTCAGGTCATCTGGATGGTTTCTTTTTTGTGCTGAGACATTTCGTCCGTCTAGGGCATGCCCCAGAGACCATCTTAGCAGGAGCAAACTGTTTTTTTCCCACTCTGGAGTATGCTGTTGGTGGAGAATCAGTTTTGTTTGGTGGTTCCTCAGATTGAATGATGGACGAAACGTCTCAACACACAAAAAAAAACCATCTGGATGACCTGACTGAACATTGTTAGACAAGGAGTCAAGGCTAAAATGTCATAATGTGACAACAAAGTTATTTTTGTATTAGTTCTTATGAACAATATATGGGTCAAAACAATCAAAGTGATCAACTTGTGATGTTGCACTCAGTGCAGGATGAAGAGCTCATGAAGCTCAGCTTTACTTCTGGGCCTTCTTGGTTGCAGGATTTTTGGCGCCAGTTTTTTTGACTGCAAGCTTCCCGGCAGCCTTCGGCTTCTTAGGAGTGCCCTTCTTGGGTTCTTGGTCACCTTCTTGACAGCCTTCTAAGCTGGTGCCTTCTTGGGGGACTTCTCAACCAACTTTGGCTTCTTAGCAGTGGGTTTCTTGGTGGCAGGCTTCTTGGCTTTGGTGGGAGCCTTTGTCTTCTCCACCTTCTTAGATGAATTGGCGGCTGCAGGCTCCTTCTTGGCGAGCTTGAAGGTCCTGGAGGCCATGGTGCCTTTAGTCTGGCTCAGGGTGCCCTTGGTGACCAGCTTGGTGATGGAGGTGTTGATGCGTTTGTTGGCATTGCTCATATTCACTCCATTCTGCTCCTTGCAGTCGGACACGATGGATACGATGAGCTCTGGGAGGCTGGGTCCTTCCGTCTTTGCTTTTGGGGCCAACTTCTTCCTCGGGGCTTTAGCCGGCACAGCAGCTGGAGCATCTTCTGCCATGTAGCTGATGTTTAATTTATGAGCTCTCGAGCTAATGCTAAAGCCGTGTCATTTCTTCATGTCATTGCGCTCTGCTTCAAATTAAAGATCTGAACGTCTGATAATGTCCAAAAATAACATTCAAGCGAAATTTCACCAAAGCAACCTATGTTGTTTACCCAGAATGCATTGCAATTTAAATAAAACAGCAACGTCCGTGTGTTCATAATTTAAAATAATTATACAAACTAAAACAGCATACAGTATTTAATGGTCTTGTTTTATAGCTGACTTGTTTATCAAATAAAGACTAGTCAGAGATCCCTTGTTCCTAACAAAATGGACAACAAAGATGTCCACACCTGTCTGAGTCCTCGCTTTCGTCCCAATGGAGGCTGGATCAGGAGGTTCTGCTGGCCTGGCTCACTCTGCACGCTGGCCACCCTGGGGGAGTCACATTCGCACACACGCACAAATAAATCACCATGAAGGGAGCAGAAGGATGCCACCTGCGGTCGCTCACCGAACCCACGAGTGATCACGGCATGTTGCTGCTAATCTACTCAGTTACTCACTACGACGACACACACAGTGCGCTACACAACAGCAAGTCACATTGCGCAAAATTAAATGGTGCTGCTATGATTTACACACCCAAAACACAACGGGGGGGAGTGGGGGCTGGAGCAGCAACGATGCCAGGAAAAAAGCTAGTTTTAGACCGAAAAACAAGTTTTTAAAAAAAAATGTTTTATTTTAATTTTATTTAAATTACACATAGGTGGAGGTATATAAATAAAAGATTGTGTTCTGGTTGCCACCCCAGGTCCCCCGTCGCCCCTACAGATTGGTATCCACAGCAGGACGCCCAATTTGATCAGCGAGAAGCCCGAGACACGTAAACAGCATGAGACACCATGGCACCGATGGGAGAAAGGCTGACTTTTGGTGATGGCACAACAGTTGGAAAGACCCACAGCTGACAGGAGGAACGGAGCTCCCTGGCCCCGGCGAACGCCTCTTTAACTTCTTTTGGGGGGGGGGGGGGGGGGGGGGGGGCTGGTTAGGATAGCACAGCAGATGAGCTGATGAGGGTCAGTGTGGAGCTCGAAAAAAGGGAGAAACAACTGGACTCACACAGAGAGGTCAGAGACAGGAAAGTGTGTGGGGGGAGGTGTGACAGGGCCGAGGTGATTTGATTGAATGTGGATGAGTGATTGGCGGCCTGTAGAGGAGGCCGTCCCGAGGCGATGCCCCTCCCAGTGGCGGACAGATGGGACACACACACACAGAGGGCCACTGTACCTAGAGAGGTTACCCTCCTGCAGAAGGCCCTGGGACTCATCTAGCACATTGGGTTCGCTGTAAAAAGGGGGGGGGGGGGGGACGGAGGAAGGGGGGAGAATGGGAGTTTAGGGAGTGTAGTTGAGACCCACCACGACTCTGAGCCCCTTCCGTTATACAGCGGAATACCAGGGCGGTCACTCCTGTTAACCAAAACTGGAGCAGGCTTCTTAAAAAAATAAAAATAAAACACTTTTACCCAAAAGACAGCTGAAGAACATAAAAAAAAGAAAAAAAAAAGAAAAGTAAAACGTAATACGTCAACAGAGATATACACAGAAAAATATGACTGTGGTTGTGGGATATGATCCGTTTTTTAAGTATCAGTTCTGCATGCTACTTCGAAACAAACCAAAGTCTGAAAAGTACAGAAATACCGTATTTTCCGCTGTATGTGTTGCTCCGCCCTATAAGTCACATCAGTCCAAATATGTCTAATAAAGTGGAAAAAAAAACATAAATATGTTGCTTAGCTGTATACGTCGCATCTATTAAGTGTCACCACTGACAACCCAGAAATGTGGGCCGGTGTTGTGCCAAACATCGATGGGCTGCCAAATGGCGGCTGAGGGGAGGACTTTAGCAAGAATTGAATAAGATTAACACTTAAAAACAATTATTTGTTTACTCGAAATTATAGTAAAGGTGTGTCTCAATCTAACTTTTCCTTAAATGCACTTTGACGGTCAAATCAACTGCATTTCGCCGGGGCGGCGAAGCGAAATGAAGCTGATTCGGTTGCTCCAGGCAGACGATGGTGGCAGTCTATGCAAGCCAATTGTGTCATTAATAGCTGCTTTCACCTATTACATGATACAACAGCATGCTATACAACTCTGCTGCCATTAAGTGGCTGAAAAATGGTAGTGTTAAATATTTCAATCTGAATGAATGAAAACGGTCACATCGCAGCCAAAAATTGGTTTATAAATATGAGAAAAAAATCCATAAATACGTCGCTTTGGCCTATAAGTCACAGAGCATGCAAATTATGACCCCCCCCCCCCAAAAAAAAACAAAAAAACAAACAAAACTCGACTATACAGCGAAAAATACGGTAGTTGGAAAAACTGAAAATGCTGCCACAGAAACAGAAATAATCCACTGGCTGCGTTAGAAAGAATCAGTTTGCTTCCTTATAACTTTAATCATACATAAATTTACAAAGTACAATGTTAAAAATGTAGCTAATCTTTCTCCAGTTTGAGCTTTTCTCCTTTGGCTCCCTGTAAATCAGACAATAAATTTAAATCTTACTTCTAATATAAACAACAAGACTCCAACAAAGCATTCCATTAAAGAACTTATGGTTCCATACTTTCCTAACAGAGAACTTCGCTCTTGGACTGCAGGTTTACTTGTGGTTCATAGAGTTGGGTTTCTAAAAGAAGAATTGAGGTAGAGCTTTCAGTTCTCAAACTCCTCTCATGGAAACAACTTCAGGTTTCTCTATGTGAGGCTGACTGTCAACTTTTACGGCTGTGTGTTTTTTTAAATTTTTTATAAATCCTATAGTTAGGGTTGGCTTAGGTTCGCTGAGCTACCCCTTAGTAGTGGTAGGCTTTAACTAGTGGATGACAAATTGGCCATATCCTCATATCCCCAGGCTTGTAATTTCACTTATTGGTGTCACTAAATTTGTGTTCTCTGTTTGTCCTTCCATAGAAAATACGCATTTTGGACTCTGTATATTTGTTATAAATCATACCCTGAGACAACTTTTGTTGTGAAATGAAACTATAAACTGAGCTGAAATTCACTCACTTGTAAACTGTTTGTTTAACAGTATTTATTGTTTAAGTCTGATGCTCACATAAACAGGCAAAAGTAGAGAGCTAGCTGACATGATGCAGAAAAGGAAGGTAGATGTTTTATGTGTCCAACAGACCATGTCGAAGGGCAGCAAGGATCGCAGCATTGGAGCAGATTTTAAACTGTTTTGCCATGGTGTGGATAGAAGGAGGAGTTAGTAGAGGTGAAATGAGTGTCAGATAGGATGATGTGTCTGAAGGTGGAAGTAGAAGGTCTGATGCTAAATGTTGTCGGTGGTTATGCTCCACAGGTTGGATGTGATGTGGAGGAGAAAGACAGAAAGAAACTAGATAGGACAGATGGTGGTGAATTTTGCCAAGAGAATGGAAATGGCTATAGTCAACAATTAGTTCCAAAAGAGGGAGGAACATAGAGTGACCTATAAGAGTGGAGGAAGGAGTACGCAGGTCGACTGCATTCTATGTGGAAGAGGAAATGTGAGGGAGATTGGCGACTGTAAGGTTGTGGCAGTGGAGAGTGTGGCCAGACAGCATCGGATGGTTGTGTGTAGAATAACTGTTGTTGTGAAGAAGAGAAAAAGTGTAAAATCAGAGAAGAAGACCAAATGGTGGAAGCTGAAGAAGGACAAATGTGAGAAATTCAGAGAGGAGCTGTTAAAGGCTTTGGGTAGTAAGAAAAAGATTCCAGATGACTGGACTACTACAGCAACAGTAATAGAGAGACAGGTAGGAAGGTACTTGTTGTATCATCAGAACAGAGAATAGATAATACGGAAACTTGGTGGTGGAATAGTGAAGTATAGGAAGCTATTCAAAGAAAAAGGTTAGCCAAGAAGAAATATGACAATGAGAGGAATGAAGAAGCGGGCGCTGTACAGGTCTGTCGTGGTGAAGAGAGAGCTGAGTCAAAAGGCGAAGCTCTCAATTTACCGATAGATCTACGTTCCTACCCTCATCTATGGTCATGAGCTTTGGGTTGTGACCGAAAGAACAAGATCTCGGATACAAGCGGCCAAAATGTTTTCTCCGCAGGGTGTCTGGGCTCCCCCTTAGAGATAGGGTGAGAAGCTCGATCATCCGGGAGGGACTCAGAGTAGAGCCGCTGCTTCTCCATGTCGAGAGGAGCCAGTTGAGGTGGCTCGGGCATCTGTTTAGGATGCCTCTTGGATGCCTCCCTGGTGAGGTGTTTTGGACACGTCCCACTGAGAGGAGACCCAGAGGAAGACCCAGGACATGCTGGAGGTACTATGTTTCTTGGCTGGCCTGGGAACGCCTCGGGATTCCCCCGGAGGAGCTGGACCAAGTGGCTGGAGAGAGGGAAGTCTGGGGCTCTCTACTTAGGCTGCTACCCCCGCAACCCAACCCCGGATAAGCGGGAAAAAATGGATGGATGGATGGAGGAATGAAGAGAGGAGACGGGACTTTAACGAGATGCAACATAGAGCCAAGAGGGAAGTATCTAAGGCAAAGCAGAAGGTGTATGATGAGTTGTATGGGAGGCTGGGCACTAAAGAGGGTGAGAAGGACTTGTACCAATTGGCAAGAACAAGGGATCAGGCTGGAAAGGATGTGCAACAGGTTAGGCTTGTTAAAGATGGTAATTGTAATTTTCTAACAATTGAGGAGACTGTGACGAGAAGATGGAAGGAAAACTTGGAGGAGCTAATGAATGAAGAGAATGAAAAAGAAAGAAGAGTAGAGGTCATAGAAACTGTGGACCAGGAAGTGGGAAAGATTAGTAAGGGTTATTTTTGGAAAACTCTGAAAAGAATGAAGGAAGGGAAGGCAGTAGGACCCGTACCAGTGAAGGTTTGGAAATGTCTTGGAGCGATGGCAGTGAGGTTTTTGACTCAAATATTCAATGGCATATTTGAGGGTGAGAAAATCACTGATGAACGTAGGAGAAGTGTGCTGGTGCCCATTTTTAACAACAAGGATGATGTACAGAGTTGTAGCAACTACAGGGGAATTAAGTTGATGAGCCACACAATGAAGATCTGGGAGAGAGTTGTGGAAGCAAGACTTAGATGAGAGGTGACTATCTGTGAGCAGAAGTATGGTTTCATGCCAAGAAAGAGCACTACAGATACCATCTTTGCTTTGAGAATGCTGATGGAGAAGTAGAGAGGGTCAGAAAGAACGCCATTGTGTCTTTGTGGATTTAGAAAAAGTATACAGTTTACGGATGCAGTTATGAAGGTAGTTGGAGTGAGGACAGAGGATGCAGAGGACAGAGTGAGATGGAGGAGGATGACTCGCTGTGGTAATCCCTGAGGAGGGAAATGTCAAATGAAGTAAAAATAATTAGTACCAAATGACAGTAAGATTGCTTTGATGTGGTGGACTTTTTAAAACAAAGTATTTCACTTTCCCATCATCTCTTCCTGTGTTAAACCTCTGTACTGAATTTGCTCAGTTAGATTAATTCTGTTTCCACACCAGTTCCTTTTCCAACCTGATCAAAACATAATAACATTTGTTCAAAGCTCAAAAAGTAAAGGATTTTAACTTAATTGGACAATAATCTTCTGGTTCAAACCAAGAAAGTTTTGTGTATGCTTCACAGAGTACGTTTGCCTTTGTGCGATCTTCGGTTTAGCTGTTTGAAGCAAAAACACAACTCAAAACACCAAAACTTCTGCGGTGTTTGTGCGTTGGGATGCTACCTCTGGCTGGGCAACATGGTGGTGCGGGTGGTCTCGGGCTGCGAGGCCACTGAGCCGGTGGCGTGGCTGGAAAAACGCCGCTGTGACATCACTCTGGGCAGGAAAGCCTCATGCTCACTCACAACGCTAGGGATACTTATGGAGTCATCTAAAGCGGGAGAATTCAGGACAGTAGGTTAAAATTTGCAGACATTTTAAATATGACAACTGGTGAAAGACAGAAGCACTCCTCACTCTCTTCATCGTCCTCATCGGTGCGGCTGAGCGTGTCTTGTGAGGGCTGGCGTGACGGCTGGCTGTCCTGCTCCCAAACAGTGCCGGTGCCCGTGTTGGACCGCGACATGGTGGCCAAACTGAGGCGGTAGGCTGATGTAGAGGTGCCGACGGTGCTGATAGAAGTTTTTCCTTGATATGCTGTTGAAATGGCGCACAAATGTAAAACTAACATGCTCTTATACGTTTTTCATTAGACTTGTGAGTTAGTGCTTAAATAGTTGTACCAGAGCCACTGTGTACCGCCTCTTTGAGGATCTTCAGTTCATTGTTGAATTCTGCAAACAGTGAGCTCTTGCAAAGAGGTCTTGGGATGAAGCGCCGCTCCAGCTGGTCAGCAATGTGGTGGCGCGCTGTTATCTCCTCCTGGGATTCTGCTGGCTGGGTCAGTAACTACAGACACAGCAAGGACATTAAAGAAAATGTTTTAATACAAGTTTACACAACAGTAGAGTCAACTTTACCTTGCATTGTATGAAGGGTCTCAGGAGAACAAAAATAGGGATACGGGTCCGTACGATGAAGTCAATAAAGTCCCAGAAAGCCAAGCCACCCACTTTCCTCAGAGCCATCTCTTTCACCTGTAGGCTCAGACGGTACCACTGGTTCCCCAGCGAGCGCTCAAAGCAAACCAACACCACCTTCAACGCTATGGAGGGAGGAGGGTGAGAAACAAATAGGAGATGGAAAAATGAGAATCTGTTTCATGTGTGTCGTGTCTCAGACCATACTATCGGTTGGTTTTCTAATTATCCTTCAGGCCAAAAGCAATGTGTTCAACACAATGGTACTTCTAGTTATTTGTTGTGTTCTTTGTTTAAAACAGGTCTCTCTTGTAAACAAGTCCCCGAGGCTCAGTGAGACTAGCCTGTATAAATAAAGGTTGAATTGAATTGAAAATGTCACTGTCAATAATGGTGTACCACAAGGCTCAATCTTAGGGCCCACTTTCTTTACAATCTACATAAGTAATGTAGGTCAGAACATTCCTGATGCATCCTTGCATTTCTATGCTGACAATACAGTAGTTTATTGTTGAGCTAAATTAGTTGCTAAGGTTTTCCAGCTCTTACAGTCTGCATTCGACATCATCCAGTCAGACTTGTTCCATCTCAAACTGGTGCTAAATGCTGATAAAACCAAATGGATGTTGTTTTCAAATAGGAAGTCAGTACCAGCAGTCCTTCCTCCTATCTCATCTATGAATGGTGTTCCTATTGAGTTTGTGGATTCTTACAAAAACTTGAGAATCCTGGTTGACACTCTTCTCTTCTAAGCCTCATGTCAAAAACTTGATAAAGAAACTGAAATTAAAATTGGGTTTCTTTATCAGAAATAGATCTAGTTTAACCCTGAACACTAGGAAACATCTCGTAACTGCTACTTTCCTTACGGCCATTGATTATGGTGACATTACTTACATGAACGCTCCTGCAAGCACCCTGCAGATGTTGGATGCTGCCTATCACGATGCGCTAAGATTCATAACTGTCTGTAACTACCATACCCATCACTGCACCCTGTATTCACTGGTTAACAGGACATCGTTAACTTCACGCAGACTCTCTCACTGGTATATTTACATCTTTAAATCACTTCTTGGTCTGCTGCCTTCTTATATCCTTGCCTACATGTCATGTTGTCAGTACAGCTACAGCGTGCGCTCTCAAGTAGGGCATTAACAGAGTACTCGAGTAATCTACACATCGATAGCTAGGACATCTACCGAGGTTAAAAATGTTACGTCGAGTATCCGTAGTGACGTCATATTATGTGACGACCGTATGACCGTAGGGGGCGGTGTTGCACTGTTGCAGGTCACAGAGTATGTTGTAACACCGGGTCCAATCCACCGAACCAGAACCAGTTTCGGTTTAAGTTTCGTTTTTGATGTGCTGCATGTTTCTTCACGTTTGCAGTTTAATAATAATAACTAATAGTTTAGTTTTTCCTGTGACTTAGTTGCAGTATGATAAATGGTAGGAGCATAATATACGCTCCCAATGTTTTGTTGGTCTTTTTTTGCAAATAATTACTTTTTGCGGTTTTATGTATTTATTTATTTTTGTATCTTGAGATCTATGACGTCATCAAATACTCGAGTTCTACTCGGGTTTTATTATGTTAATGTCGAGTTTAAAAATTATATACTCATTCAACCCCTACTCTCAAGACATTGTTACCTGCAGCATCTCCTCAGTGCGGTCTGAATTTGGCAAAAGGGCCTTCTCTTACTCAGTTCCTGTAACCTGGAACGTCTTACAACAAGAACTGAAGTTGTCCACTTTGATCTCTCTAAGGGATTTTAAACAATTATTAAGGTCAATGCAAAAAATCAATGCAGACATGTTCCTATTTTTAGTATTTTACCCCGTTTTATAATGTAGCTTGATTTTATTTTGTTTTATATCACTACTTTTATTTTCTTTTTATTTTATATGCATTTTATGGCTGTTTATTGTTGTGCGTACCTGATCTGTGGTTTGTCTAAAACAAGTCTCTCTTCAAAACGACTTCCCGTGACTCAATGAGACTAACCTGTATAAATAAAGCTTGAATGAATGTGCAAGTTGTACCCAGATAAGCAGCCTGGCTGGTGGACTCTGCCAATCCCTCCCTGCGCAGATCCTTCCCCGTGTCGCCGGGGGTGGAGCAGTGAGCCGGAGACGCGTCCAGCATGAAGTTCTTGGTGCGGGAGGTGGAGATGATCCGAGGAGGCAGCAGAATGTTGATGACAGTTTGCAGGAGGAGGAAAATCTCAGGCTGCTCGAGATGGGGGCTATCTGCAAACCGAAAAACACAAACAATCGAGAGTTCACAGAAATACATGGAGAGACTTTGTGCTGACATCTTACTAGCAGCTAAAAGTTCAGCTAACTCCGTCCATGGCCATTCCAGTGTTTCTCTAATACAGTGGTTTGTAGTCTTTCCACAAAACCTCACTCCTAAAGATTTGAACTGTCCCTTTAATATAAAATATACAAGTAAAAAAACCTCTCAGTACCTTTGCTTCCAGAGCCCACAGTGAGAACGAAGGGGATGAGCAGGTTGAGCAGCATCCCTTCTCGCCTCTCCTGATTAGTGAAAGGTGAGATGACGTGACTGAGAGGGAAGTCGTCTTTCAGGGCCTGAGAGGGAGAAAACATGCAGCTGAACGCAGCAGGTCACTGTGAGATAAACGTTCGCTCTCCTCATCCTCTTCCTCATCATCAGAGGTCGAAAGAGAGGCACTCACAAAGCCCACCCTCCCACTGTGTACTTGACCTTAGTAAAAGTACACAGTATGCTGTGTACATGACCTTAGTAAAAGTACACAGCATACTGTGAACATGACCTTAGTAGAAGTACTCAGCATACCGTGAACATGACCTTTGTAAAAGTACACAGTATACTGTGAACATGACCTTAGTAAAAGTACTCAGCATACTGTGAACATGACCTTTGTAAAAGTACACAGTATACTGTGTACATGACCTTAGTAAAAGTACACAGTATACTGTGTACATGACCTTAGTAAAAGTACACAGTATACTGTGAACATGACCTTAGTAAAAGTACACAGTATATAAACATGACCTTAGAAAAAGTACACAGTATACAGTGTACACAATCTTAGTAAAGGTACATAGTATACTGTGTACATTTCCATAGTAAAAGTACACAGTATACTGTGAACATGACCTTAGTAAAAGTCCACAGTCTACTGTGCATATGACCTTAGTAAAAGTACACAGTAGGATATACAGTGAACATGATCTTAGTAAAAGTACACAGTATACATACATGACCTTAGTAAAATCTTAGTACGGGTACAAAGACTTAGTAAAAGTACACAGCATACTGTGAACATGACCTTAGTAAAAGTACACAGTATACTGTGTACATGACTTTATTAAGAGTACACAACATACTGTGTACATGACCTTAGTAAAAGTACACTGTCGGCTATACAGTGTACATGATCTTAGTAAAAGTACACAGTATACATATATGACCTTAGAAAAAGTACACAGGATACTGTGTACACAATCTTAGTAAAGGTACACAGTATACTGTGTACATGTCCTTAGTAAAAGTACACAGTACACTGTGTACATGACCTTATTAAGAGTACACAGCGTACTGTGAACATGACCTTAGTAAAAGTACACAGTATATCTCTCTGGACAAGAGGTGGGTCTGTGCCGGTCGCCACCTCATCCCCCCATTTTAAACGCACTGTATAACAACATGCATCAACACCATATTCGAGTGGGAGGAGGAGGAAGTGGGTCTGTCCATAATTTATTTATGCATATATAGATTTTTTTTTTTCTTTCACAAACACCTCCTATCTCCGTGTGACACTAGGGGTCGGGGATGGGAGGGGGGGCGCATTGTTGGGGTCTGGGCTGTGGGTGGGCTTTGGGCCTTGGGGGCGGTGCTCTGGTTCCCCCTGGGCTGTTCCGATTCTTTTAATCTAGGTTCCTGGTTGCGATGGCCGGCACTTTGACCGGGGTGGCTGCCGGCTTTCGGCAGGGGGTCGGCTATGGTAGTGTACGTGTGGTCATTGTTGGTGTAGGGTGGCGGTTGGGGGTGTGGCTTTGCCTCATCAGGGCACTGGCTGGTCTTCCTGTGTGGCATTTGCGGTGGGGGTGCTGTGTGTGTGTGTGGGGGGGTGCGTAGGTGGCATGCTGGGGCGTCTCCGGGCCTATGGTGCCGAGCTCTTGATGTGAAAAGCCGGCCCTCCTTGGCTGCAGCTCCCTGCTGCTCTGCCCCTTGGGCTGGGGCCGGCCTGTGGTCGCTGTCATGTAGATGGTGCATGCGGTCTGTGTGTGCCTGTTTGTGGCTCGGGTTGGGTTTTTGGTGGTCCTCCCCCTCTTGGATCAATTTGGGCCCCATGTTTGGTGTGGGGTCCACTCCCCCCGGTCGTGCCCCCCTTTGGCGGGGGGCCCCCTTGCCGCCGGTGCATTGGTGGCTCTCGGCGTCTGGGCTGGGTGGTGGGGTGTACGTCGGTCCGCCCTGGTTGCTGCCTGGCGGGGCCTGGGTGCCCTGGCTCTGTCGGGGCTCTGCTGGGGGGTGGTATGGCCTCGGGGCTTGGGGCTCGGTGTCCATGGCCGGATCTACTTGGTGGAGGGGGGCATGGGTTGCCGGCCGGACCTGTGGGCTCGTCGCTGCAGCTTCCTGGAGGCTCTGCATTGTGGTTGCTGGGGTCACCCGGTTCTTTCCTCTGCTCCTCTCTGGGGGGGTGCGGTTCTCCCTGTTGGGAGACTCCTGGGGCTCCGGGCCTGGGGGCCGCTGTGTGGCTCCGGTCCTCCCTGTGTTGCCATTGTGTCCTGGGGGGGCGGGTCTGTGGGCCCCTGCATCCACTATTGGGCATTCTTTTGGAGAAATCTGGTGGTGGCGGGCATGCTTGCGCGGGTGTTTGGATTCAGGTGCTTTGACAGATGCACGCTAGGTTGGGTAGTGGTGGAAGCAGATGATTCCTTGTGCCATGTTGAATGTTTCATGGTGATATTGTGGGTGGCATTGTGCTGTGCATGTTGTTTTGTCCTGGTGGTCTCTCATTTGATCTATTTCTCTTTTATTTTTTTTTTCTTCTTTCTTCTCTTTCTTTAAAAAAAAAAATAAAATTGAGCGATGATGATAAGTTCATTGAAACACTTCACAATGTTTCTACACTTAAACTGAGCTCACGAGGAAAAAAAAAAGTACACAGTATATTGGGGGTGGGGGCAAACAAAGACACATCTGAGTTTCACTGTATTGTGCACTGCTGGTTTAGTGCTACGTCAGTGCAGACAGTTATCGACGGGGGGAAAGAGTGAAGGACATTTCTGGAGGTTAGAGATTCATGAGTCTAACAGCCGCAGGGTAGAAGCTGTTCCTCAGTCTAGTGGTTCTACACTTAATGCTCCTTAACCTCCTTCCTGAGGGGAGCAGGGCAAAAAGTGTGTGTGCAGGGTGAGTGTGGTCCTTCATGATGCAGATTCATGATTATATGACCAATTCACTGCAGCCGTGGGAGATACCTCACCTGAACTGATACACCATCACCCCCACCCATCGCACCATACTCTGACCTCACCACCAGGACTTTTGTTTCTAAAATATAACTTTGTATTAAATGTTAATGTGTTCGGAATGTTGTCATTATTGTACAGACAAGGACAACTTGTGGTGTGACAGAACTCTGGGTTCGAGGGAGAGAGAAAGAAAGTGTCTGTCACGGTGAGAGAGGAGGCTGTGTCTGCTGCTTTAGTCCTTATATCCATCCATCCAGCCATTACCCAGTGTTTCCCCTATCGTTACACAAGGAGGGTGCCCCGCCCTGTCAACAGAGCCGAGCTCCCTACATACAGCTAGACCTTAAAATTATATTTGTTTATCTGAGGCGTGCTGTACCTGGATCTGCAGAGCGACCAGCCGGACTACAGCTGTGCTGAAAGGAAGTGGAGGAGAGAGGTAGGGGCTGAGGTGGAGGAGAGGCAGCCCGTCGGCCACACTGGAGGGGCCGACCACACCCATCACCTGGAAAACAAAAGGTGTGTAAAGAACTAGAAGGAATGCATTTTCTGTGAAAATGCAGTCAGCTGAATGACTGAGCTGACAGATAAAAGTAGCAAAACACATTAAAAACACATAAAAACATAAATCAAAAGTGACAAAATGCTAACCAAAAGATAAAAGTAGCAAAATGCTATCTAAAAATTACATGTAGCAAGTACACTATACATGAAACAAAAAAAACTTTACTTGAAATCAATAAAAATATAAGTAAAAAAAATAGCAAAACTTTAGATATGAGTCAAAATCAGAAAAACACAAATTAACTTTGAGCATTAGCATGATTAGCATTACCAGATGTAGATTTAACATTAAAAGAATCAGCATCAGCAGTATTAGCATTATCGTTGGTATTGTTAGTGGCAGAATTAGCACTGCCAGATGCAAAATAAGCGTTGCAAGAATTAGCACAAGCTGTATTAGAATTAGCTTTAGTTGTAGTAGCGTTAGCTTCATAGCAGTAGCATTAGTTTCAGCAGTAGTTGCATTAATTTCAGTAGTAGTAGCATTAGCCCCAAAAGTAGCATTAACTTCAGCAGTAGTAACATTGGATTCAGCAGTAGTAGCATTAATTTCAACTGTAGTAGCATTAGCTTCCACAGCAGTAGCATTAGTTTCAGAAGTAGTATTAGCTTCAGCAGTAGTTGCATTAGTTTCAGCAGGAGTTGCATTAGCTTCAGCAGTAGTATTAGGTTAAGCAGTAGTTACATTAGTTTCAGCAGTAGTATTAGTTTCAGCAGTAGTAGCATTAGTTTCAGCAGTAGTTGCATTGATTTCAGTAGTAGTAGCCTTAGCCCCAGAAGTAGCATTAGCTTCAGCAGTAGTAGCATTGGATTCAGCAGTAGTAGCATTAATTTCAACAGTAGTAGCATTAGTTTCAGCAGTAGTAGCATTAGCTTCAGCAGTAATATTAGCTTCAGCAGTAGTAGCATTAGTTTCAGCAGTAGTACTAGCTTCAGCAGTAGTTGCATTAGCTTCAGCAGTAGTATT